TCCCTCCCTCCCTCCCTCCTCCCTCTTCGCAAGTTCGACTCCGTCCTGTCGTCGCTCTTTGGCATGCGGTTAGCGTTGCGTATCTTGCGGCCGCACTCGCTCACTCTCACTGTCTCACTGTCTCACTGCCTCTCTCTCTCTCTCATCTCTCTCATCTCTCTCATCTCTCTCATCTCTTTCTCATCTCTTTCATCTCTCTCTCCTCTCTCTCTCTCTCTCTCTCTCCTCTCTGTCTCTCGTCTTTCCGTCTCTCTTCTCTCTCTTCTCTCGCAGGAGGATCCGGGCAAAGAGCCACATATAAAGGACTCTTCACCCCTGCCTCCAAAAAGAGCGCCGTGTTTTTTCCTTCCCCGCTGCCCTCCACTTTCCCATTTTGGGGCGCTAGCTTTCTCCCCCCCCCCCCCTTGGCCTCAAGTATATATATATATGTGATAATGGCACATTTGTTTTGAATCACGTAGGTGGAAATGGGTAATAGCATGGTACATAGAGCCCGCGGTTGTTTGCTGTGACTTTCAAAGTGCGCGGTCGCAGGAGTCACGGTCACACCTTTGTCCAAAGAAGTGTCGCTGCCACAGTTGGCCTCGCACGGACCACCGACACCGGTTGACTCGGCGTAAGACGGCCAGAGCGAAGAGGACAGGTAGACAGGTTTTCGTAAAGAAAGCACAGGAATACAAGTGGGAATGGGCTAGCGGCTATCAATATCTCATTATGGAGGCCATACCCGCCTTGGTCATACAAGCCCTTTTGACATCCCGTGCAAGTGTGGCCGCTGTTTGCGGTGTGACCAGCCGCAGTGTCCGCCAGGTGTCCATTGATTTTGGTGTCTTTGCTCGTCTCCCTTCTCACGGTGCTCGAGCTTGTAGCGCCCTTGGCCTGGGTCGAGAGCTGAGCCACACTGCGTTGGACCGTCCAACTGAGGGAGTTGGAGCAAAAGCACATGTCATGTCCATTGAGCTCTATTGTCGGAGAGTGTAACTTTGGTTTCACCGATTCTGATTCGTCTGGATGTCTTTGGAATCAACTTGTGTCAAGTAATGCTGCCGCATTGCCACATGGAAACCGGCGCGCCTTCAACTTCGCTAAGATCTCGATGGAGAGAGATAGAAATATGATGAAGTATGTCAACGGTCAAAGTGAATACGTCCTTTGTGCTACAAATGGGGTCCTGTTCTTGCAGCACGGAACCATTTCTTTTGGTAGCTTGGACGGCAAAAGCGGGGCCCGACCAGCGAGGTGGCGTCACTCGGCTGGAAAAAGGTCCTCGACTCGGAAGAAATCTCCGTGAAATTTCAAAGCTCCCATGCTACTAGTAATGCCCTTGTTCCTAGTAGCGGTGCCAGGAGCCCCTAGTAGCGTCCCTGCTCCCATTTTTCTTGGTGTGACTTTGGAATTTCAGTGCTGAGGCCTGCATGCTAGCACTCTTGCTGAAGATCTTTTGGCTTAGACTTTGCATAGGGCTTGCCCTCTCCTCAGACCAAAGAACAGTTCATCGAGCAAACGACAGCATCAGGTGGCCAACATGTTGGTTTTATGGCTTGTGATGATGTCTTAGGATGTGATGCTTTGGACAAACAGAGAATCAATGTGACAACATGAAAAACTGAACCTGGACAGAGGGATCTCATTGCGCTTCTGCAGGATGTTAACGGAATGATCCAGCCGACCACTTTGGGGTCAAACCACTCAAAACATGAATTCCGATCCATTTTCTCCTCAAAAACGAACTAAGAAGCTACGTCATGTTATGGCCTACGTCCTTCGGGGCGACCTGAGGCCATGACTGCGATCCGTTCCTCCTGCTTCGAGCGATTGGGTTGCATCGGTCGGCCCTTAGAGCTATGGCTCGGGCACCCAAGACGCACGTGGTCCGGTTAGACGGTAGTAACAAGTGCCATGCTAGTAGTAACAGGTGCCTTACTAGGAACAAAAAAGCTATTAGAATTAAACTTCAAATAAAACTAAATCTAAATTAATAGCTTCTAGACTTAACTTAATTCTAATTTAATTCTACGTTCGCAAACATTGTTACTACGTTCGTAAGGCACCTGTTACTACTAGCGTGCAACTTGTTACTACTAGAGAGAGAGAGAGACGCTCTGAAGAATTTCAGCCGTTTCCAGGTTAGATGCTCTTTGTATGTTTCGAGATATCTTGGTGTCGCTGGGGGCTTGAGAATGTAAGAGCGTCTTTGAATTTGGCAGATGGATGTCACTGGATGTCACATTCCTCAGCACCTTCAATATGGTTCTTGCCAAGGTCCATCATTTTTCTGGCCCTTTGCCCTTTGGTGCTGCTCTCCGGCATTTCTGAATTCATATGTCCAGCCCTTATCAAATTTGTGGGTTTTGAATCACGGTCGCGTTGTCCAAGCTGATGGCCAGGTCCAACTTTCAGCATCCACCACCTAATTATTTATAGGCGGGCCGGTTTTGAATGGCGACATGGAGAGACTTTTGGGGTTGGCTCCGGAGGCCATGTCGGGGGCTCTCCGCAGTCGCGTCAGGCAACCAGGGCATACGGATCGTGAAAATTTGGACTTCGACCCGATCTTGATCCGCATGTGTGACTCGGACCTTTGTGTTTTCTTTGCGTCACATGTGCATAATTCTTCACTCAGGTTTCGAAGAGGAGGATTCGGAGGAGGGACTTGACCACGAGAAAACGACAATGCCACCGACGTTTGTCCAAGCTCCGTGCCAGGCTCCAAAGGCCGTAGGCCACATGTGGTGCCAGTAGGTAACATGCTGTAACCATGCCAGATAGGCAGAGGATGAACGAGGATGAAAGATGACTAGCTCGGAAAGAGCGACTTTGGGGGCATCTATTTTGCCGAACTGATAGCAATGGCCTCCAACCTAATATGGCAAAAGGAACCTAAGAGCAATGGCTTCCAACCGAGAAGCGATGGCCTGCACCTATTTTAACTCCACTGAACGGCCGTTCGAAGTGACCATGGGAGTTCTCCAACCCTGACAGATGAGAGAGGATACCCTTGTCTTCGTGGCGGGCGTAAAAAACAAAACATGACCAAACTCGGGCGATTGCTCCAAATCAGGGAAACTGATGCCATCGGATGCCCCTTACTTTAGGGAGCACCGCTACCTCTTGTTGATGGATCCTATATTTTCTGTTTGATCTCGCCCTAAAGGTCCAGGCTGACCCCCGTCCACACCTGAGACTGCTACTTTTGGCCAGGACACCGATGAAAATGAGAGTGATATATCGGGACTGCCTAATGAACGCATGCCTCATCACCACTGTTAAAGGGTGTCGGCATGCTTCGGAGATTGGAAGGCCCGTTGACCTCGAACGAAGCTTCGACAGTTCGATTTCGCTTTTGTGTTTCTCGTGGAATTCTCCACTTAGCCTTCTGAAGGCGCGTAGGAGCCCCGTCCTCGGGCGGTTTCACACGGATTAATAAGATCTTAGAACTCTAGATCATTAGGCGCGCCACGGTCCAAAAAGAGTTGGCAGTTGTTCTGTTTAACTTGGGTCAGGCTGATATGTGACAAGTGAGGCCAGAATCCAATCACCATATGAGCATCATTGCATCATGTCCTGTTGTGTCCTGGGGGGGGGCGTGCGTAACCCAGATGGTGGCAGCAGGTATTTTGCTCAAAGAATGCAAACCAAACAGAGGGCACAGGTTGCAGAGCTTGCACTGCTCGGCGTTTCTCAGCACATACCAAGTCTAATGTGTAAGAGCTTTTGCTGTTTTTTGACTTGGAGACAGCCCAAGCCTCAAAGCCCCACCCAGCCAATTAGCATTTTTGCGGCTTCGGCCACATTCCCCAGTACACAAGCAGCCATTGTCGCAGACGGCATGCGGAGGCACGCTCAATGAATCGCATGCTTTGCGTCACGTTCGTTTGGACCACGCGAAGTATCCTTCATCAGTTGCTTGGGTTTTTGTGGAGCAGGATGACGTCTAGGAGCAGAGGGCGCTACTAGGAGCAAAGGGCATCGCTACTAGGGGCTCCTGGCATCGCTACTAGGAGCAAAGGACGCTACTAGGGGCTCCTGGCCGTACTACTGGTAGCAAGAAGCTTTTTGGGAACAAGGGCATCGCTACTAGGAGCGATCGGACGCTATGTTCGGGGCTCCTTGGTTCTCCACAGCTTGTTGCAACAGCCAGGCGGCGAGTGCATTCTCGTTCACGAGGCCTGCGATGAAAATCCGGACGAAGGTACTTTGAGAAGATGCAACACAGGTGCTGCTTAGATACCTTGATGCAAAGCTCCAATCTTTGGGGTTCGTCCCGTGCCCGCTGAGTTCTCAACGGCCGATCGCCCCAGGGCTTTGGGCATTCGTCCTCCTTCCACAAGCTGCCTCCCGGCAGGAAGGGCATCGCCACCTTTGCGGGGGGGAATTGAGCAGAGGGAGTTGAGCAGGTGAGACTTAGTGACTTAGCCTGCTAGGACAAACAAAAGGGTTGGTGAATGGACACCGTTCTTTCGCCTACAAGTTTTCGCCTGTAAAAAACTGATCACGAGACACCCCAAACACGGGGATCCTGCTAGATAAAATGTATATCGTTTTTTTGGCGTGCCTTGTGCAGCACCCTGCCGGGCATTGAAGCTGTTTAGAAGAACGCTGCCGGGTTGCAAAATGAGGTTTGTCAATCGTTTCCAGGACGACCAGGCAAGGCAAAGGGAGATGCATGATGCGACAAGAAGAGCTTCTCTTTGTTACAAAGCTGGTTTGTTGCCAATTGGTGTTGTATTCCTTTTGCCAATCTTCTCACAACTGAAAGTCAGGCACCGCAAGCACGTGCCCAAAGTCAGAGTGGGCAGTGACCTGAGACATGTGACTAGCATTTTGCGATTAGGGTACCACCATGTACCACCACATTCCCACTCAGCACCTCGACAGAACCCACCCTCCACGGCGACCGGTGGCGGTGTTCCTGAGGTCGATCCGGAAACACCTTCCAGCGCGTGTGCGTCACAATATGATTCGGCGGGGCAACCGTTGACTCTGGTCTTCTCCGATGAGTTCAATGTGCCAGGCAGGTCGATGGGGTCCGGACAGGTCCGGACCAAGCAGCAAAGCCCGTGAAACACACGCCCCAACACACCCACGAACAGGTAAGAGGTGAAACATGGTGAAGTTCATTGAAACCCGCATTCTGATCATTCAAGCCACATGCCGGTGCTCCAATTGTGTCCTTGCTTCTTGGATCGAGCAATTCAAGTGGTGCACATCATCGTCAAGATGAGCCTTAGGTCTGAAATCACGAATCTATGATCATTTATGATCATGCATGCACACTCTCACAACGCCAAGCAACACATGGCCAGAGATGGCAAGACCGTACAGTGGGATAGGTTGACGCAATTGAATCGCCGCCATGCTGGATTTGCTTCGAGGTTCTCCTTCGTTAGAAGGAGCCTTGGAAGAAAGAGATGCAGAAATTGCTACTCTGCAGGCACAGATCAAAGCATATCAAGAAGCAGATCAGCGAGATTTCTTGGCGGACAACTCCGATCAGTTGGCCAGCATTATCTCCACGAAGAACCAGGTGATCCACGATTTGCAACTGCAACTGGACCGTTTCACAGCAGAAACAGCACCGCCCAGCGGTCCCTCTGTCGCCACGAGCTCTATGACGATGGCACAGGCCGGGCGGTGACCAAACAGAAGGGTCGCCAAGTCTAAGGGTTTTGCTGAAAAGGATCATGTTTGCTGAAAAAGGAGGGTTTGAACATGGACTTCCTAGCGTTTGCCCGAATGGAAAGAAAACATGAAACGCTTTTGCGGGCGCTGGAGACCTCCGTCCCCGGCGGAGGCGTTGGAGAGCGCCAAGACGTCGGCGGCCGAAGTGGAGCGCTTGCGGAGGAAGCTGAAGGAACAACAGCACCAGCTGCAGCTCTACCGAGAAGAAAACCATCGACAGGAGCGAACAAGCGAACCATCGACCTTTGTTTGTTTGTTTGTTCGCTCGGCCCCTGCCTCCTTACTTAACCAAGTAGATGCCTACTGAATTCAGTAAGGGAGAAGTAAGCTACTAGGAACTAGTAACTGGACGCAGGATAGCTCACGCTTCAAGGAAGCTCGATGATTTGGTTCGATCTAGAACTTGAGCATACCCCGGCTTTGACGGTGTCAGACCACAACCGGTAAACCGAAAGGGACCACGTTTCGACCCTTCTTTAGGCAGGCGAGCTCGCCGCCAATGCCGCCAAGAGTGCCGTGGAAATCGGGACCTTGCAGGCACAGCTGAAGTCCTTTGAGGAGATGCAGGCGGGTGGCGCAATTTGGCTGAACTGTTGAACTGTTCAATCACCACGGAGTCTACATATGCCAAATTATGCCAGTAAAGGGGCAAGGAGATGGGAGAAAAAGGTGACAGAAAAGATGTCTAAATGAAGGAGAAGTGGAGCCTGAAACTGAGCTGCAGATGCTTTTAGATGCTAAACTCGAGCCTTTTTTTCGATGTCGGAAGACCACCTAGCTTGTAAACCAAAACCTTGCCACTGCCATTTCAGGTGGAGGTTGCCAAGGTGAAGTCCGGGGTGAGTGCAGATGGTGAGTTGAACAATGCGGATTCAAGCGTGCCAAAGGAAATACCGCAAGTCCATGTGCCAAACGGCGGTGGGCATTCTGAAGGACAGAACCAACAACCTCCTCCCGCTGAAGCGACAAGAGAGGAAATTGCTCAGTTTCAACGCATGTGTGCTGAGCGTATGAAGGCGCTCGAAGCACGTGAAGCTGCAGCC